TGTTTTTTGCAGAACCGGGGATTGAACTCAGGCCCTCACACTTGTCAGGGAAGCACTTATTCCACTGAGCCAACTCCCCAGTCCCTGGCTGGTTTATTTTTACACCACACAAGCATGAGTGAGAGAAATGAAGTACAAATTAAGCCAATTCTGTATCATGGGAAACAACAGAACAATAAAGAGTAAACAGGAAAATCAGGCTAAAATCTGACTCAGAAAATAAGCTGCTTAGGAAGCCAAAAGACTAGTTATCAAATGATACGATTTTTCAAGAGTAACGCTTTGCATAGAGATGCAAGAAAAAACCTAAATTGGTACAGTGGGGTGGGGAGAGTGACAGCACACACCTGTAATCCCACCGGGGACACCAAACCAGAAGAGTCACAACTTTCAGGCTAGCCTGAGTGACTTAATGAGACCCTGCCTCATAAAAAAATTTTAAAAAAGAGGGAAAAGAAAGAGAAGAAGTCAATCCCTCCAATTTCCAAATTCAAGGCCAACCTTGTCAATTTAACAATTTGGTGCAACCCTGTCTCAAGAGATTAAAAATGGACTGGGGATGTAGTTCATCTGGATGTAGTTCTTTGTGATGGCCTTGGGTTCAATCTCTAGCACTGCAGAAAACAAAATAAAACTTGACACTTCCTGCTTCCTCAGGACCCATTTCTTCATCGTTCAGACTATGACCTCAGGTCTCTCCTGAGAGCTTTCTTAGGATGTGCACAGCTGAGGGGCTTCTTCCTGGCTCAACTTCCCTGCAGGGTCATATACAAATATTCTTCCATTGGCTTCTGGGACTGCATTCCACCCATTGCTTTGACTTTTGTAATCTTCTCTAGTTCCTCTTTCTCTTTTCAATACTTAAATTCTCAGATCAACTATTTCTTCCTTGAGTAAACTGTCTATAGTTTAAACTACTGTCCGTGCATGCTCCATGATCCTAATCCCCCATTCTTTCCCTGAATTCAGACCTGTTTCCAATGGGCATCAACTTGTTGACCCTTTTCTCCGAGGACTACACACTCAATATATTCCAACCCAAACCATCGATTTTCCCAACTTTCCCCTCTTCCTGTCTTGCTTCCTGCTAATGGAATCACCGCTTAGGGGGTGGGAGGTGGAGAGTAAAGAGCAGCTAGCCACTTTCTCCTCAACATGTACAAAGACTGGGGGTGGTACGACTATGGGGCCCATAACTGACTCTTAACTCCTTAACTCTTCACCAGCTCCCCCAGTCAGCTATGCTTCAATACAAGGAGAAATTCAACAAACTTGGAGAAATGGATGAAACTCTTCAATCGATGTGATTCAAAACCTTTGCATCATACCCACCTCATGGCTCAAATTCTAATAACACATAAAGTTTTCTCATACCTCTATGAAAGCTCTTGATTCTTTCCTTCATCAAAAACAAAAACCCTAAACCTACACTGAATGTGTCTTTTTGTTTTTTGTTTTGAGATAGGGTCTCATTATGTAGCTCAGACTGGCCTTAAACTCACAGCTATCTTCCTGTGTCAATTTCCCAAATCCTGGGATTACAGGTGCGTGTCACCATGTCTGCCTTGAAAGTGTCTTCTCATTGGGTGTTCAGTCTCCAGCTTCTCTTACCTCCAAGCAACAACTTCTGGTAGAGCACTCTGCCTAAAATGCCACCCTAATCATACTGTTCCCACTATCTGTGGAATTCAGTTAGCATGCTATCACACTGCCTTGCAAGTTTGGATGTCTGCTATCTTTCTATCCTTATCTCTTGCTACTTCCTATGTTCCAGTCCAAGGGTCACTACAGCCATTAGGCCAAATCCAGCACACTGCCTATTTTTGTAAATAAAGTTTTATCAAAATACAGCCATGCTCCTATTCTTCCATACAATCTATAGTTGCTTTTGTGATGTAATAGAAAAGTTGAGCACTTGCCCACAGAGGTCATATGGCCTTCAAAACATAGAATATGGAACCAGGGAGATAGCTCAGTGGAATAAGCACTTGCCTGGCAAGCACGAGGACCTGAGTTCAATCCCCGGTTCCGCCAAAAAAAAAAAAAAAAAAGTAGAATATTTACTATTCATGCCTTTACATAAAAAGTGTACTGTGTTTTAACAGGATAACTGGCTATTCCATGAAAACGGCCTGTTTTCCACCTCTGTGTATTTATTTATTTATGCTGTCCCTGTCCCTTGGAAAGACCCTTGTTTTTCCCCTAAATTGTACACACTGTTCAAGACTAGCTTAAGTACTATAAATTTGTACTTTAAAACAAAAACATTAAAAGAACAGCTCAAATGCTACCTTTTTCATAAAGACTTGCCTGATCCTAAAGGTGAGCTTCTCTGTGCTGCCAGTGTGGTATTTATTTATGTTTTGTTTTATTTTAGGGAAGGGTCTACAAGGTGTTCAGGGTCTCACTACTAGATCAGACTCCTAGGGATCCACCTGTTTACAGCCTCCCAAGAGCTGGGATTACAGGCACACACCACCACGCCCAGTCTCAATTGCCATCTCAGCACGCCCTGGGGTGGGGATGGCATGGCAGGCCAGGGGATTGAACCCCTGGCCCCTGCACCTGCTTGCAGGTGCTTTAATCCACTGAGCTATTTGGCCTGCCCGCCAGTGTGATATTTATTTAGACTCCTCTTCTGCATTTGCCACATTTTGTCTAGCGCTATTATTTTCATACATATATTTCTACTTCTATATTATAAATTGCCATAGTCATGTGCAACCTCATAAGGCATAACACCACCTTGCTTTGCTGAGTTGAAACAAACCCCTACAAACTTAAGTACTGGGCTAAAACCAGTGTTGTATTGTGTTTTGTTTTGCTGAGACAGGTTCTTGCTATGTAGCTCAGGTTGGCCTAGAATTCACACTTCTCCTGTCTCAGCCTAGTGGGGAGACATTCTTAAGGCTTACACACAGGTCTCCACACTCAATTGCACAAGATTTGGCAACTACACTCAAAAGTGCTAACATTTTGGCTGGATAATGCTCTGTTTTAGGGGCCATCTTGTGCACTGTAAAATGTTGAACACCATCTTTAGCTTCTACCCACTAGATTTCAGCAGCAACTCCCCAAGGTAACAATCAAAAATGTCTCCAGACATTAACAAATATCTTCTGGGGGACAAAATTATTCCTAGTTGAGAGGCAGTATTCCAGTGGTTTCCAATACAAGCTAACAGTAAGATGTTGTTGCTAATAAAATACAGACTACATAATAATTGTAGTACAATGTCCAGATTAAGAGATAAGCAGTACCTAGTGCCAAATGACTCACACTTCCAAGACTGTGCTCAACTCTGAATTTTAAAAGTACTTTTAAGGGGCTGAGGAGATGGCTCAGTATAATTAGCGCTTGCCTGGCAGGCACAAGGGCCTGACCCGGTTCCACAAAAATAAATAAATAAGTAAAAATAAAAAATAAAAGGACTTTAAAAACTGGAATTTGGGGTCACAGAGACAGCACAGTGGTCTAAGCACCTGCCTTGCAAGTCAAGAACCCGAGTTTGATCCCCAATACCACACGCTGCGCTGGTTCTACATCTAGGCGGTCACTGAAACCAGGCATGGTGGCACACATCTGTAATCTGAATGCCGGGGAAGCTGAGACAGGAGGATCACTACAAGTCCCAGCTATGTAGTAAGACACTGTACCAATTTTTTAAAAAAACTGGAATTCATTCAATAGAAAGTGACAAAGCCATCGAGGGACTAGAAGAATATGTTGTCAGAGGGATACTTAACTAAATGAGGTAATCAGTCTGTACCAGAGATAATGATCCATCTGTAGCAGAGACAAAGGTAACCCCATGATCTTTACATATCTGATGGGCTGTCCTATGGGGAAAAAGGTTACTCGGGAAGGCAGATCAAGACCCAGTGGGCAGCACTGCAGGAAGGCTGATTTTGCCTCCTAACAATCAGAGTGGGCCCACAGATAGATTGGGCTAAGTTTTGAAAGACTATGTTCTTGTCATTCTGGAAATGTTCAAGCACAGGCTAGTGAACTATTAATGTCAGGGATGCTGTAGAGGGATTCCTGCATGAGATGGGAGCAGGGACAAGATGGTGTCTCCAAGGTTCCTTCTAACTCTGAGTCTCAACTTAGAAAAAGAAAAGTCAAATGTCATGAATAAGTTGTATACATAAGCCATATGTAATTTTAATATCTTAATTACAGCAAGAAAGAAAAATATTTTCTTAACCCTATTTCTCTTTGGTAATATCTTACATTTAGCTCCCAGCACCTTAACGACCAGTGACCTACTTATTTTAATTAACTTAAAAAGTTAATTAGATTCCAGCCTAAAGTTTACCACTACCTTTAAACAGTAACTTGCATTCCATTAATCATCACCAGTACAATTTGTAAAATATTTCAGTTTTCAAAGCACCCTGGCATATATTGCCTTACTCACATTGCCCAAACATGAACATGACAACTTATTTCAGATAATCTACATTCATTTGCAACATGTATTGCTTGAATTTCTTATAAAAGACTGCCCTTTATTATTCATTAAACATTCACTAAGTTAATAAAGCATATTCCAGTAGATACTCATCTCCAAAACAAATCATTTATACACAACCCAGAGATAAACTAAATCCAATCATTTTGTTATTAGACAAGCCAAATGTAGTTATTTCAGCATCAGAAACATGGATTTACTTCTGTGACATTTTGCAAGTTTATTTTTTTGTTTGTTTTTTGCAGTATCAGGGACTGAACGCAGGACCTTGTAAAATTTTGACTTTATTTATGATTTGAGGAAGATTTAAGATCATTTCTACTCCTAAATTTCAATTTGGTCATACAACCAACAAGTTCAAGAAAACAAACATAACAAAACATGATGTATATGAGCTGCTGACAGGCAAAACTACTGTAGGCACTAACCCCAGGGTCTCCTTTTTTACCAGGTTAAAACTATGAACAAGACTTGTGTAAGGAGTTACCCCGAACCAAAACAGGCCCCCAAGCACTGCTTTACTTACTTCTTTACGTTTTGTTTCTGGACATTCCGACTGCAGAGTAAGAGTTGCACCTTCAATATTTCTTGGCATGGGTGTGGAACCAGGGTTTATAGTCAAGTGAATCTGATCAGGTGAGATAATGTGTTGCACATAACCCTGGGACATTGCTTCCTGGTCTATTAGGTGGAAGCCCTCTTCACCCCCAACTAGGAAAGGCAAGTGCTCGCCACACTGTCCGTCATCATCTTCATCCTCCAAAGCGCCAGCGTCCTGCTCGATAAGGACGGTGGTCCTATCATAAACAGTTCCAGATGAGGAAGGCACCAGTCCGTTTGTATCCACAAACCTGAGCATCTTGTCATCTTCCTCTGCCTCAAAGAAGATGATGTTGTCGTCTGGACTGTGTTCCCCCATGGTGCAACTATGCTCAGCCCAATTGTGAGAAATGGAAATGCGATGACCTTTCTGCAATAGACAAACCAGAATCAGAACCACAGCACAAGACCCAGACCGCCCCAGAAAGCTCAGCACTCATTTTCCTTTTGTGTTTTCAAAAAAAAAGCCCAAACAAATGAAAAGATCTTCATCAATAAATTTTTAAACTTAACTTTGATACAATCAAGTCAATCTTAAGGAAAACATGCTTTTTCCTCCCCAAATATCAAGACTTTCTAAATATGCTCATTTGTACCTAAAGAAAATAAAGGAACAAACACAACAGGGCTTTAAGACTGACTTGCTTTAAATCTGAAAGTAAGGTACAGTACCAGTTTCATTCAGCCTATTATAGAAGAAACACGGCTCTGGATGTAAGTCATTTATCTACTAATCCTGGCTTTGCCCTTTATTATTTGCCTCATTTTCCTCTCAAAGTTGTGATGAGTAATGTAGGGTATGTAGAGCACAACGTCTGAAAAACAGAGGAATGGGTATGGATTCTTTCCCTCCATCCTAGGATAGATGTTTCACCTTCTAGGTGAAGGGGCTAACCTTATAAAGCACATCTAATGAAGATAATTTTAATTTAATTATCTATCTATTAAAATGACATGGTAGCCAAGTGTAGTAGTGCGTGCCTATCAGTCCAGGATTTGGGAGGCTGAGGCAGGAGGTTCACTGCAAGTTCAAGGCCAGCCTGGACTACTTAGTGAGTTCAAGGCCATGCTGAACTACACTGAGACCCTGTCTCAAAATACAAACTACATGGTGCGGATCAGAAAGTATGCTTACATACTGGCTCTCTGGCCTGAGAAAATGCTCCTATACTGACACTTGCTAGTAGTTCAGAAAATGTCAACTGAATGAATGAAAGGCGTATAGACATAATCTCTCAGGAAGACATAGTCTCTGAGGAAGAAACACTCCTTTGGAGAAAATACCAAATTTCAAGTATTCGTGATCTGAAAGCGATTCTTCCGTCACCTGCGAACACATAGGTTCTATAAATGTGGGGTTGACAGGCAGAACATAATTAAAAATTAGCACATCACTTCTAGTTTTCAGTCTGGCCCTATACTTTCTCTACGCCTCATGATTCAAAGTGAGCCTTTACACAGCAGGGTGGCCAGACAGAGAGGTAGTTACCAGAGACAGGTCAAGGGATTTGATCCGGGAGGAACCGGCCCAAGCCCTTGCTTTGGCTTACGCAACCCCACAGATGCACATTTTGCTGCCTCTGAGGGGAGAGATAAGAGTACCGAAGGCCCAATGGGCTGCCCCGGCACATTCAGCGTCAACGCGGAGACCAACTGTCCGAAACAAACACGGCCAGGAGGTTTGAGGATGGCCAACGAGCAGTGTGAAGAGAGAGCCCTCGAGGAGCCTGGGGAGAAGAACCTATCTAGAATGGCCCCCAGCCCAGGACTACGTGGGGAAATCCTAAGACAGGCCAGGGGGCTACCAGTTGGGCGAAGAGGGGCAGGGTCCGGGTCTCCATGGAGACAGGAAAGGGGGGCTGGATACCCATCCCCATGGAAACGTAGGGGTGGGGTCCCTATAGGGAACGGACTGGGGTCTCTACTGGAAACTGCTTCAGGAGGGAGTCTAAGTCTCGCGCCCCACGAGAAGTCCCAGCCTAGGCCGAGTCTAGTTTCGCCTTTTACCTCCGCGGCTCCCGGCAACGGCGGCAGCAGCAGCTTCTCCCCTCCCCAGCGGCACCATGATTGCCCCCACCTTTCCCTAACGTCACTTCCGCTTCCGCTTTCCGGAGGAAGGAGGAGACAACCACTCCACTTCCCTATGGCACTCCTGATTGGCTTTGGTGGTCTGGGGGCTGAGCCCGAGTATCCAATTGACGAGCTGAAGGGGCGGGGTGAGCCGCAGGGCGGGGCGGGACGTTGTGTGAGCTTGGGCTGTACCGGGAAACGACCTGGTTTTCGTGGAGGTGCGCAAGAGCCGCGACTCTCGACTACAGATATGAAGTAGCGGCAGCCCAGTTTGCGCCACGGCTGTAACGGCACGGACGCCAGTTAGCCACCAGATTCCCGGGTCGGACACGCCAAGGCTGATGCTGTTCTTGGCCTCAGTCTACGGCCCCAGCGCCCCCTTGTCAGCAAAGTTAAGACAAGAGGTTCCAGGAAAAGGGGACTGGACTCAGAAGGCAGCTAGGAGTATTTCACGCCCAGCCAGAGATGCCACTTTTCTTCTCAGCACGCCTTCATAAAACGCCCTTTCATAAAACGCTCCTTTCTCCTTGTACACCAGCCCAGCCTGGCCGCTCCGACCGCCCCCCCTCCCGCCCGAGTCAGTCATCGCCACCTACTGGTCACTCCCATTCTTGAACTTCATACCCATCCTGTTGGTCCCTTTCAAATCAGTAACTACACTGCCAAGAACTAGTGGCACTCTAGAGCAGAGAATCGATTTTGTACATACCTTTAGTATGCTCCCCTCTTTTCTAAGTTCCTGTAAAATCTAGCTTTTGGATTCTCTCAACAGTCACTGCCTGTTTTTCCCATGAACTAATTCTCTATAATACTGAGACAACCTAGACCAGGGGTTCAGGCCATGGCCCACCATCTCTTGCAAGGAAAATGTGACTAATGACTACTATCCACCAGATTGCTGGGTGTTTGTCTCTGGATACTGATCAGCTATTCTTTTTTTTTTTTTTTTTTTTTTTTTCTGCGGGAACAGGGATTGAACTCAGGCCCTTGCACTTGCCAGGGAAGTGCTTATTCCACTGAGCCATCTCCCCTGCCCTCGATCAGCTATTCTCAATGCTTAAGCTACACAGGTTCAGCTGCCAGACTGCCATTTCTTAAGAGAAAAACACAACGACCACTGTTAAAAATACATTTATCATTAAAATATATTACATATGAGAGCATAATATACATTTTGGATGATTTGCTGGTCTAGACGTTCTCACTTGTTCCCCATAACAGGCATTTCCTCAGTGTTTTCACCTTTAAGCCACTGAGTGACCAGCCTCAGAGTGATTAAGCCAGATCTGAGGAGGAAGGGGGTAGTTTCCAAATGCATGTATGCACGTCCTCAGATTGAGTAATGGAAGCATAAATGGTGGCTGAGGCTTGTTTATCCAGGACTGTCCTCCTGAATTCTTGCCATCCGACTCATTTTCCTTTTAGGACTTCACAGTTTATTCAAATAGCTGATCATCAAGAGCTCAGCCCAGGCTATAGGGATGTCATAAACTATACCCTGGAGCAAGGCTGTACGTTTAAGTACAGTCATTTTTTTTTTGTTTTTGTTTTTGTTTTTCTGAGAGTCTATGTATTCCAAATGGACTTGAACTTGCTATGTAGCCCAGGTCAGCATTGAATTCATGATCCTTCTGCCTCAGCCTCCCAAGTGCTCTATTATGGGCAAGCACCATTCCTTGCCTAAGTTTTGTAAAATAATGAAGAATTAATAAGAGATTTGTGTTAACTGAAAGTTGAATACCAAATGTCAGTTTTTATTATGGTACATTTCCCCATGTCTTCACAATTCATCACTGAGCATTTTAACTGATGGCAGGATGTGGGGAGGTCTCGGCTCAGGAATCAGTTAGCTGCTATTCTGGCTTCCAGTGGGTTGATATTGTCTTAAGGCATCACTTGAGCTGAAACCAGTGGGGTTGGCAATTGGCTGCCTCCAGTAAAACAAAGGGAGAGATGGAGAGGTTCAGAGTGTGTTGCAGAGAAACTGGTGAATAAACTCTTGAGCCTTCTTCTTATCTGTCATTTCAAGCTTTTCATGACCAGCTGGGTTTCGAAGTAATAAACTACCAAATATGCTTGCTGTATGAAAAGCAAAACAGAAAACAAATGATTCAGCAACAATTACTTATTCTTGTGTTTTTAGAAGCAGAGACAGGGATACCAAAGAGCAGTATTTTATGCTTTGAAACACACAAAGCAAAAAATTTACTTGAATGTAAACTTTGCTCAGAGCTTAAAACTTAAATTCTACTGTAATGAACCCAGGACCCTCCTCAATCTCTTTTCTCATACCGACTTATTTCACAGAGATGCTTTCCTAGACACTTATCTAGCTGGCTGCTTACCTAGAATATTTCCATCCAAATGATTTTTTGTTGAATTTTTCAGCAATTCTTGCAAAAATGCCATTAAGTAGTTGAAGACATTTTTGTGGAATGTGGGGAGAGTAGAAATGACCTAAAAAAGAAAGAACTGAGATTTGCCTATTTGTTCATTCAATTGTTTGTCAGTTTGCCTAATTCTAGGACCTAAGTACATAATCAATGAACATGAATGAGGTTGAATATAGAAAACGTGACTTGACCTAAGTACCATAAGAGAAACACTGCTCAAACGGCACATGAATTTAGAGGTCAGACTTCTCTATGTTCTGAGATAACTTAAGGAAATAGAAGACATTTTCACTGGGTCTTGGGTATAAGACAAAACTAGATTTATAAGGCAAAGGGGACCAACAAAGGTAAGGCATTCAGGGCAAAGAAAGTGTTTCAAAGATGAAAGAAAATAAACAGTGAGGTAAGAACAGAGAACATATTATAAGAAGTCAATTCTGATTGAAGTATAACAGTTTTAATAGGTTTTAAGGCTGAACCTTAATGGATACCAACTATCATCTGGGGGACATGTACAGAATAGATTCCAAAAGACATCCTGGTTCAGCGGATTTAGGATGAGGCTCTGAAACCTCTATTATTGGCAAGTTTTCTACACCATTCTGTCAAGTGTAAGTAAATTATTAGGCTAAATCAAAGAAAATCCTGCCTATTTAAGAAAATAATTAATTGACAGTGGTGAGCCAAGTATGGTTTCTGACCAACATAGCAAGAAATTTAGGATGCATGACTGGACGGCAATCTGCAAAACAAAGCAGCAGAGGTAGAGCCCAAATACAGGGTACCAAACCAAGGTAAGCAGAATGAGAGTAGAAGGAGAAGATGGTGACAGATCAACGGGTCTGGGTGTGTGGGAAGGGAGGAGAGGGAAGAATCAGAAATGACTCAGGTTTCAGGGTTGAGTCACTAGAATTAAGGGTGATGCTATTAAAAGAAAAAGGAACACAAGAGGAAGAACAGGTTTGAGAAGGATATGGTATTAAGTTTCTAAGACACTGCACTTAAGGAGCAGTGCTCAATTTGTTCCATCAGGCCTCCTGGGCCCAGGGAGAGCCATATACATAACGTACAGTGATGATCAGTGCCTCCTCTTACCTGTTTGCTTGCTGTGTAATTACCAGTACACTCCAGGCAGCTATGGTAGGCTCTGTAACAGATCACAGGCTCTGGCAGACTCTCTAGGAAAAGCAGCAAGGCCTCAGCTACAGAATGATTGCTAGCAGCTTCCAGCCCATCGTTAAGGAACAGGTGATGCTGGTTCACTGCCCCTGGTTGGGACAAGGCCCAGGGACAAGTACGTGCTAGAAGTGTTCATGCTTAGTCCTACTCTCTATTTAGAGCTGGGATCCAGCCTGACATCTCAAAGTGTCTGTCAAATGAGCCAGGCTTTCCTCAATTTCTACTATATTAGCTGCTTAAAGTTGTAAAATCTCTATTCAAGAAGAAAAAACATGATCACTGGGAACACAGTAACAGACTTTGAACTTTAAAATATTATTTTCCTTTCTCAGCACTCTCTCTCTCTCTCTCTCTCTCTCTCTCTCTCTCTCTCTCTCACACACACACACACACACACACACACACACACAACTGAATGCCTGAAGGATACAGAGGTTATCAATCATCCCAGTATCCAAACAATCCCTGATATGTTCAAATTCCGACCTCAGGCCTGGCTGTTGAAACAGATCTTCCTGCAAGAGGGAAGAAAGTCACAAACAATTACATTTACAGAAAATGATTTCCTCACCTATCAATATCACCCAAGTACAAAAAGGAACTGTGTAGTAAGACCTCTGAATTACCCTGATAGACAATGTAATTTAGGCTGATGTGGGTAATTCATCTTGCAGGCCTTCCTAGACACGTTTATACAATAAGTTCTTAGGCATCTACTATAAAACTATGGGTAGGGCACACTACACAAGACAAGATCCAACGTAAGAAGCTTCTCAACAGTCAGCTCCTCCCATTCCCAGAAGCAAGGGAGAGCATGATATTCCTGGAGGCCTGCAGATGGGTTTCTATCTCAGGGGCCCTATGGATCCAGGAAAGGAACACATTGCAGGGAGGGGTGTCTTCCCTTGGGATACTCAAGTGGGGCCCACACCACAGCAGGCTCTCACAGGGCTATAAATCACGGTACAAAATCAACCTCTCTGACCCAGCCTGGGGTAAAGAGCTTTCCACAGGTTCCTCAGGGCAAAAGCTTCCTATGCAAAAGGCTCTCCAGGCTGAAGAGCTTTCTCCAGGAAGCCCGGTCTTAATCAGCCTGACTGCCTAAGCATGACCTACCTGCTGGATAGCATTTCTGTACAGGTAGTCAACCATCATCCAGAGTTCTTTGGGGATTTCCATAGGGCTCTCCAACTGGCTCCCATCATCTTCAGTCTGCATTGGCATCAGAGTCTAATTATAAAGAAAAATCAAGTCAAGGTGACCGACTGATGGAACTCAGGGATAGCAAACCCATGGAAAAAGAAACATTTCAATGCCCCTCACCAAATATGGACAAAACTGAAATCAGAATGTACAACTCAGGAATAAAAGGTGACTTTATGGCCATCCCAGCACTCGGGAAGCTGAGGCAAAAGAACTGCTGTGAATTCAAGGCCAGCATG